AATTTCAGGAGAATTAATTGGATTAAAACAAACTTTTTACATGTTTAAAGACTGAAGTTACAATGTAAATATGTATGTAATGGGTTTGTATATTTTTTTATGATTTGATAAATTGATGCATGATTTATGTTCTGGATTGTTTAAAATATGTTCATATGATGTATATTAGGTATTGGGACATTTTGGGAAGAAGAATCAGAACTTTGAATCTCCAATAATGGAGGTTTGAAGAAGAACCCGCAGAAGAAGACAATGAACAGTGTTGTGGCCGACCGAAGAAGGGGTTTCGGTCGACAGAAGAAGGGGTTTCAGCCGACTGAAAGAAAGGTTCAGTCGACCGATATGTCATAGGATTTGGGGATTCTTACTGTTCTTTATATTGTTCATATTAATAGTTGTTTGGATTTGTTTTAATTATTTTAAATTGTTAAAATAAATTCATAAAGGTTATAGAATGTATGATTATAATTAATATGCTAAGGTATTGAACAATATGAAATTTTAAATGGAGTTGCATGATGTTAATGTAGAGTATAATTGCTTAAACTTAATTTAGCAATTTAATATGGTGTATATATGATTTAGTCATATACTGTTAGTATAATGTGATCACATATGTCTGATTTATATTATGCCCATCTCTGGACTTAACATATGTCTGATTTATATTATGCCCATCTCTGGACTTAAATTGATGTAATATAATATTTATTTTCATTAATTGTGAATTGTGTGATGTAATGCACCAGTATGGGATGGTGGCATTTTAGGGACGGATTAACTTATCAGTTAAGTCCTACCTATTTTGTATAAGGGAATGGATTAACCAAAATGTTAAGTCCTCTTTATATTCAAGTCAGGTCAACTGAACAAGTTGAATGACTTATAAAGGATTATTTGTAGAGGATTACTTTATACTGGATAGGATGGTTACTAGATTATATATATATAATTATGTGCCTTGATATGAGCTTGAGTTTCAGGATCAATGATTAGGGCGCGTATATTGCCAGGGATGTGTAGCTAGATATAGTGTAGTTGTGTACCCTGGTAGGTCTAGGCACTTATGCTCACTATATGTGTGCCAGGTTGAGACAATCCTATAGTCTAGTGAGGTTCCTTTAGTGTGTATATATATATATATATACGGACTATATAGATACTGTTGGATTGACTAGGATGTATACGTGTATCGGGTCTCTGTTTTTTATATAGTAGATTAGAACTTGTTCATGGGTCTGACCCACTATTATTTTTCAGGTATTCGTCAGATCCAGCCATAGAGGTGGTTCGTGTCGAGCAGAGATTATCTATTCACTCTTCCGATTTGACGTAGGAGTTTTCCTTATGTTTTAGTTTGGATTTCATTTTTATTTTATTATTTAATTTCAGTTATTTATGGTTAGGTGTCCACATTATGGATTCCCGAGTTGTAGTGGTATCAGGGATTTTGGATATTGTCATTTGGAGGATTATTTAATTATTTATTTAAGGAGTTATTATTTAGTTTCATTTTTCGCTTATTTATTTATTCTTAATTTATTTTGTACTTAATGCTTGTTTAAATATTAATTGTTTAATATCTTTTGGTTCTGTACTAGGACTTGATTACCCGTGACTCTAGAATCGAGGGGTATCACAAAGGACGATCCGACCGCTCTTGCATATTACAAAAATATGTGGACTCCACAGGACGTAAAGGTCCAAAGGGAGATGACCTGCAGGGAGATATACAATTGATTCCCCATTTCTGCTATGGAGGTAACTTGCCGCTTGACCCACTGAGGGCTCCTTCTTCTTCCCTTTAATTGTTGTAACCTTGTTAGGGTCACATTGGCCATAATAGTTTTCATGTGTTTGCATTTAGACCCTGTTCAGGATAATCACCAAGCACAGGCACCTTAAAATGGCTGATAAGAAGGTAAGTAACTTCTCTGCTGGGATTAAAGCTGTGAACGGTGAAATGAGGAAGGTCAGCACCAAAAACACGCAGTTGGAGCTCCAATTGATTGCTCTGGAGAATGAGAGAGATGCTCTGCAGAAAGAGAAGGGTGAACTACAGAGTGCCTTAGAGACCGAGCGGGCAGAGTGGTCAGCCCTTAAGAAGAAATCCTCAGATGACCGTATGGCCCTATTGGGAGTAATAAAAAGGATTGAAGGTGGGATGAAGGCCTTGCACGCCCGTTTCTCCCGGGCTAGTGCTCTTAGGTACGTTGAAGGGTACAGGGATAGTTTCACAGACCGTTTCCCCCTGAAGGGCAGACGAGCTCCTATACTGGTCCGGATGATTGTGACAATGATCTTAAGATTGACCCACCAGGCAATTACACCAACCCAACCCCTAATCCGGCTGATGAACACTGAATATTGAATATTCGAGCCCCTAAATATACATATGTTAAGACCTTAAGTGATACTTTAATTCAGTTTTAGACCGATTTATGTTTATTTCATGTTTGTAGGTACTTTCCCAAAGAAACGGTTAAAACTGGGACTTTAAAAAGAAAAGACTGATATCGAAACTTACAGAGTCGTTGCCGATCATCCGAAACAAGCCGATAGTTAAAATGGTGAAAATTGGAAGAATTCAAGTACTAAGGCTCGAGCTTTAATACCATGGCTCGAGTACAACAAAAAGAAGCAAAAAAATCCACTAAGGCAGAAAAGTTCAAGCCCTAGTCTTAAGAGCTTGAGCCCAACCTTAGGGTGCTCAAGCCTTTACCTAAGAGCTCAAGCACATTAGGTGTTGGAATATGAATAGTTGTTTCAGAAAAACCAAGCTTCCAGGACCTCGTGCCAGGACTCAAGGGATCGAGCACCTTTCCAAAGAGCTCGAGCCCACAACCAAAGAGCTCGAGCCCAAGACTTAGGGCTCGAGCACCATGAAGGAAGGATCGAGCACCGTTAAAGAAGAAATTCAAAAATATTCTAAGTGTTGATGAAAAAGACGCTTCGGAAAAGATTTGAAGAAATTTGGCTAGATATAGAAATTAGGGCTTAAACCCTCTACCTGAAAGCTTAACCCTTGTTCCAAAAAGCTCGAGCCTAAGCTTCTAGGCTTGAATCCTTGCTATTAAATCAGACTTTTCAGATGCGGGATTTGTCTTAGTTATATCATCTTTCATCTTAGATGTGCCCAAATTACTCTAGAAAACCTAAAAGCCCGTCAAACCTTAATAGAAATTAATTCTTCTATAAAAGAAGGCACAAGGCCACAAAAAAACTCCCTCGATTCATTTTGGATTCTCTCTTATTGTGGTGACGACTTTTAAGGTTTCTGTAGTGCTAGAAGGTGAAAATCCTAAGAAGAAAAGCGCAATCCGTGATGATGAAGATCACAACAATACAGATAATATCTTGTGTCGTCATGAGTAACTAATTCCTCTCTTAGGGCATTAATATAACCCGATCTAAGTACTATGGTTTGATTGTTCTAACTTTGGAAATTTAATGATTTATATATTTTAATTGCATAATTATGAGCAACTGAGTCAATCAATTGGTATTTTAATGAAATAATAGTTTTTAAGTAATTATTATATTGTCTTAGATATAATTGTTCTTAAATTATTCTCAACCCATTATTAATGGACGAGATGGCAGCATAAGGGCTTCTCGACATTAATAATGGAGATCATGCAATGGTGTTCCAATGGTTTTCATGAATGAATATTTTCATAGACTATGCTTAAAAAAGGTGAACTATACTGCAAAATTAGTTAGAAGTAGGTAGGTGGATAGTTCATGCTAACCGCAGATAGGTTATAGTTAGTTGAAGTTCATGAAATATCTTTCTTTAATTTATAAGTAGGTAGGTGAATGTTATTAAGTTTAATTTATATGATATATAAATTGTTAAAATTCCAAAGTTGAACGGTTGACCATAATACGAAGTTCATGGTAAAGTCAAGCCCTAAGAATCTCTCTCTCTGATCTTTTTACTTTAATTAAGTTTAATTTTATTTTTATGTTCGTGACAAACAACCAATCAAAACATCTTTTATCTCTTAATCAAACTTGGATTAATTGAAAATAAAACAATAAACACTCATCTCTCTGTGGGATTGACACCCTCAATAGAGTCCTATTCTACAAGGATTCGTACTAATGCGAGTGGTATATTTTGACACACATCAATTTTTGGCGCTGTTGCCAGGGAGATTTGTGTTTATTTTTATTTTAAATTAGTTTGTTTTGGTTTATAAGTCTTGAGACTTTTTGATATCTCACCTTATTTCTTTTTCTTTTCAAGTGCAGGAATCTAACAGCGAGGACAAAGATGCCTAAGGAAAAGAAGCTTCGGTTTCAAGACCTTTTGTGAGTTTTTACTGTTTTCTTTACTTGAAAATTTTATTTTAGTTACGGCTAGTGCAATTGGATTTAGTGCATGTTAGGTCGTCATTCTTTATCAGAACCAATAATTGTTTATGACCCTGAAATAGAGAAGACTCTTAATCAAATTAGAAGACTCAAAAAGAATTCGAATTTGTTAAGAAATTCATCTACAAATAACATGGCTGATGATAATATAGCACCAAATGGAGAACATGTGCCACAAGCACCTGTTTCTCCACCACAACCACAAATGAAGGATTACTTTATTCCTACTTCATATATATCCCCTCCGTGTTTTCAATTCCCAAACTTTATAGGGCACCTAAAACCCCGGTAATTCTTTTACCGGCGTTTAGCACTAACCGCCGGTATAGCCACTGCCGTTAGGTTTTATCAGCGTTTTTTAAGTAACAGCCAAGTTCGACTTAATTACCGACGGACATAAAACCGCCAATGAATAATGATATACTCCGGCACTTCAACCACCAATAATGTAGAATTTTTTAATCTTTAGCAGCGGTTTAAACTGCCGGTAATGTAGAATTTTTTTTATCTTTAACTGCGGTTTAAATTGTCGATAATGTAGAATTTGTTTACTTTTAGTGGCAGCTTAAACCGTCGGTAATTTACTAATTTTATAAAAAAAAAAATATTAATTCCTAGTTAGTTTACATGTTAGCAAATATTTTATTTTGTTCCATGTTCAATGAAATCAAAGATAATTTACCAATCACAACACATCCAACAACTTAAATTTGAGATGTAACATAGAAAAAAGTTGTATTAAAATTCAATAACATCCCATAACATATAAGTTTTGTTTCAAAATGTTAAGCGCTAATAATGCTTCAAAAGGAAACACCAAATCTACTAAAGCTTCAAAAGGAAATCATTCAAAGTAAAAAATCAACATTTCATTGAGAAATAGAGTAAGGCTATGTGAGTGTCTTGACAATTAATGCTTCAATTTCATCTCTCGTCTTGCTACAAATTGCTCTACATACATTTTGAATAAAAGCCATCAAGCAAAGGAAAAATAATTGAGACAATTACCATGTATGGTTAAAATAACATGATAATTAAAATCTATTGTGCTTACCGTGGATGAAGTTTCATGACCAAAAATAAATTTAATCACCAAGTGTACTTGAGGAACCAGGTACCTTCACAGTAGAATAAAATTTTAATATGCACATTCATAATAGAATATAATTATTATAAATAAACTGGGACTTATAATATTAATATAGTTAAATGCTTACAAATGTACAATAACAAGAAAATTTACCTGTACATTAGAATTTTAATGTTCCATATGACGTAAAATTATAGTCATTTTTGCATTCAAAGCTTCATATTTTTCATCGTATTCAGCACGCTTCTTCTCCACCATCTCCTTCATTTCTGTACAAGCAACACAAGTCTCCTCCTCAACTTGTGAGGTCCTCCTTATTAGCTCCGCTTTACTAGGAAATGGCCTCTAAAGACTAGTCGATATAGGTCCTAAGCCATACATCCGAACACGACCCCTTCTTTCTTCTCCCCTAACTTGGGCATAAAAAATAGTGGGGTGAAGATTCATTTGGGTTAGAAGGCTGAGTTGCAATAAGCTCTTCTAATTATGTACATAGAATGCACAAGGAAACACAAAAAGATAGAAAACATCAAATATAATAAATTTTAGTATTCAGATTTTACACTTAGGCTCCGTTTGTTTGGACGTAAAATATTTTATTAGAAAATATATATTTTTTTATTTTTTGGTCTTTGGTTGTCGTAAAATATTTACGAAGAAATAAATTATTAAAATTTAACAAAAATAACTTATTTATCAATTTTCAGCAAGTTATTTTACATGCCTCACCTAATTGGACTCGATCTCAATCTCGACATAGACCTTTTTTAAACACCGACAAAGTAAAAATAAAAGAATATTTTACCTGAACAAGAAAAATATTTTCCAAAGAGAATATTTTACGTCGAAACAAACGGAGCCCCAATCAAACTAAGTAAGAAAGAATATATTGATGGTCCAAAAAAAATACTTATAATCATTTTGGCAGCATGTTCATCCCTAGCTTTACCATCCTTCTTTCTCTTATGTGTTGCGCAAAATAGTTGAGCACGAGTTGGCGCCTTCCCTGATTCCAACTTCATTTGTTTTTTTATTTTTTATTTTTTTATTTTTTTTTTTTAATATATATATATATATATATATATATATATATATATATATATATATGTTATTATAATTATATCACAAGGATGTATAATAAAATTGTGTGACACAAGTGATTAACTTCATAAAAAATCGCGCTTAACCTTTTCAGCCTTCCGCGCATAACTCATTGTCCCAGTTGAGCGCATAACTCAAAAAAAAAAAATATATACTGATTCAACATATATATGATACTTCTGTTAAAAAACTCCAATAGAGTTTGTGTTGAAAAATAAAGATATTTGAAAACAAAATATAATAAGTGAACAAAAACAGAGAGGACATTTCTTGTACAACATACATATTGTTTTTTCTTTTTCCAATTTTTTTTTTTTTTTTTTTGTACAACACAAATGTATTTCTCTAGAAATTAAGAATTATAAATCCTGAATGAATTTATGATCGTCAATCGTCGCCCTCACTCAGAATGCAAAATTATAAGACACATGAAAGAGAGAGGGAAGATTAATGGCAGTGTTAAAGATAAAGTTTTAAAACTGCTGTTTTGATTGTGATAAATATGTAATCTTGGATATGAACTGAAGTGATGTCAGATTCAGTGGAGACCGTGGAATGGAATCAGATTACTAATAGTAAACGATCTTCAAACTTTGCGTTTTTCAATCTCATCAAATAGAGTAGGTTTCTTTTCTTTTTTTCTTTGAGGTTGTTTGTTACTCCCGACAAAAGTAGATGGTGATATTTTGCAACTCTTGAAAACTAGAGGGGGATTTAGTATACTAAAGGCCTAAAATTATATCTATTTTTTTTTTATCTTTTCTAAACTTATCACTTTTCCTCTATTGCCTTACTTTTTCTTCCTCTCATTCCCCATATTTCCTATTATATTATCCACTCACTTCTCTTTTTTCCCCTCTCACCTCTTCTCTTTTATTCTGTTATTTACTCTATTTTTTTCTCCTTAATTATTGTTCAATCCCACAGGTTGTGTCCCAAGTGTTAGAACACAATATATTGAACTAGATATATTGATCTTACAACCAATTTTTTAACCATTAGAGTTTTCATTTGGATGACAGTTAACTTTGCAATTTTTTCATTTATAAACATCTCTACTAAAAATGTTCATTTAAGTTAGAAGAACTTAAATATAAATAGAGATATTAATGTAATTATATAATAAATTGCATAAAAAGTAATTTTTTAAAAACTTTAACACAAATTTAATTAATGATTATGTATACCTAGACATAAGAAGAATGGCTTTTGTATAGAATAATCAATATAATTTCATAGAAATATGTTAAATATCAAAAGGCCACAATAGTGTTTTTTCTTAGGCCTCAAAATCCATTGAGCCGCCCGTTATGAGAGTGCATGTGTGAACTGTGGGTTTGCATTTATATGATACAATAATTTTGCTCCCAGCAAAAAATTTACTCTCATCCACACACACACACATAACACAAACACATTATGAAGGCAAAAGATTCCTTTGGACAAAAAAGTATATGTATATATCCTAAAACGCGAATCTATATATATATATATATATATATAAAATAAAAAGGAAGGAAGAGAAGGGGCAATCGAAAAAAGGCAAAGTGGGCTGGAAAATGCCGCAACCAAACAAACAAATCAAAAAAAGATGTGGAAGCCTTGTATAGTTTTTTATATTTTTGTAGCTTTTAACATGTTGAACCCAAGAAAGCCTCCCAACTAAACTAAACCAACATAAAAACCTTGTTCCTCCAAAAATCAGAAGCCATACCGGACAACATACAAATCAGCAACAACCATACCGGACAACATACAAGAAAGACCCATAATATATATATGCAATTGTTCATTTTTACCTAAGAAATTAACAAAAATAGAAGCTGATTCATTCATTGAGAAAACAAGAGAGATAGAAGTGGAGCTCTTGAGAAGAAGGGGAAATTAGGGTTTAAAGTTCTTACAAGTTACAGTAGCCCCACTCAACAACCACCACTGTTCAGATCTTCAATATGCCACCAATCGACCACCGCCGCCGTGATCCTCCCTGCGCCACACCAAGGGCACCACCAAGTCGTGAAGTCGTGGGTCAGTGAGGGAGTAGAATGGAGGCAGAGAAATTAGAGCGTTTATGTGTTAGTATATGCAATAATAAGCTACCCAAAACCTGCTTTTAGGAAAAAATAATACCGTAATAAATAAAATAATTATAATTAAATTATTACCGGCACATTTTGTATACCCGCCGGATATAATTAATTATTTTCGGCAATAGCGGCAGTTTTTTCTGAAGGCCTGAAAAAATATACTAACAACGGCATACGGATAAAAATCGCCGGTGAAAATGATGTTTCTCGTAGTGAATGCAACTCACTTTGAGGTCAAGCCTGATATGATCCAAATGCTTCCTATATTCTATGGGTTTGCAACAGAGGATCTTTATAAGCAATTGGATATGTTTTTGGAATTGTGAGAACAAAGCAAGAACTTGGTTGCATTCCCTACCACCTAATTCCATATCTACTTAGGACATGTTGCAATAGAAATTCTTGAAAAAGTATTATATTATGGGTAAAACCACACAAATGAAAAGAGAGATCATGACATTCTCCTAAATCCCAGGTGAACAACTCCATGATTCATGGGAAAAGGTATAACGATCTTCTAAGAAAGTGTCCACCCCATGATATTACTAAATGGCACTCAGTGCAAATTTTCTATGATGATCTTTCTGATTCACATAGGAACATGGTTGATGCGTCTAGTAATGGAGTTTTCCTTCATAAGAGTGTAGCTGACGATTGGAACTGTTTGAGGCCTTAAATGAAAATTTAATGCAGCACGCTTCTTCCTCTAGGTCTAGGTCTACTCCTGGAATCCATAAGATTGAAAAGTCTAGCGAGTTAACCACTCAAATAGAAGTGTTGAATCGTAGGTTTGACCAAGTCTTATCATCTAGCTATGTTTCTGTTGCTATTTAGCATGCTTCTTTGCCAAAGGAAGTATGTTCAATCTGTGCTAATTCTTCACATCTTTCTGATACTTGCCCTATGATGGGACAATCATTTGAAAATATTTATTTAGCATGCTTCTTTGTAAAGAAATATGATTGAAAGGGAATTGTGAGAAAATGATTTAGAAACGAATCAGATATCGCGAGCCCAGGGCTAACTTGACCTAGAGTGGGTGCGTCTAGGTATAGGGTGTGAAAAAGTTGACACTAAGAGTGTCAATCCCAACTTGGTAAAGTCCGTTAGTGGCTAACGTGACCTAGAGTGGGCGCAACCCGGTGTAGGGCGTGAAAAAGTTGACACTAAGAGTGTCAATCCCAGCTCGGTAAAATCAGTTAGCATAGGTGGGGATTTGGGGTTAGTTTGAGACCAAGCTCGGGACGGTTACGCAATGCATTGCATTTCATGGCATTTTGGCACCTATGATTATAACTGATTATGCGATGATAATCTTTTAAATTAAATGATGTGGATTATGACTTTAATAATTTTCCGTGTATGATCCCGACATCTTTTTCACGTTCTTTGGTTGTTGGCTCAAGGGAGTCCAAAACCGGTGTTTTAGACATTACCTACTGAGCTGTTGAGCTCACCCTTTTATCTTAACATTTTCAAAAAACCGGAGGAATATGGACGTATGACTTGTATCCACGGACTTAAACGCCGCTGTCATTCTACCTGCATTTGTGAGTTTTTTGTGATGTTAGTGATATGATGTACTATGAGTCTTGGGATGACGTATATATTTTATGCATTGACATAAGAAAGAACAATAATGCCTTAGATGACCTCGGGTTCGGGTAAAGACCCGATTAGTGATTCGGACCCTTGGGTTCGGGTCGTTACATAGCCAACCCGAAAGGGCAGTCTTACATGATTGATAAAACCAATTCTTCAGGTATTCATTATGAGCAAGTACAGGCTATTACTACATTGAGAAGTGGTAAAGTGGTTGATAACCAAGTTAAAAAAGGTCAGGAAGAAAAAGAAAGGTTTAGGATTCCCATTGATCCTATCATTCATAATTCAAATCCCAAGGATGTTCCATCAAATCCTATTCCACAAAATATCAAAAGAATTGAAGGCGAAATCACTTCTTCATTTGCTTTGAATCTTAAGACAGCTTATGAGCCAAGAGCGCCTTATTCTGAACGTCTCAAGGAACCCTCCTACTTTGGCAAGTAATAGGAGAAAATTCAAGTTATGATAGAGGTCTTTAAATAGGTCAAAATCAGTCTTCCTTTTCTTGATGCTATAAAGCAAATTCCTACCTACTCTAAATTTCTAAAGGACTTATGCACTCAAAAGAGAAAATCAAAAAGCCAAGTTTCTAAGAAAATTTGTCTCACCGAGCAAGTAAGTGATATTCTTCAATACAACATTCCTCCTAAGGATAAAGATCCTGGTGCTTCTCAAATTTCTTGCATAATTGGAAACAATGTGATAGAGCGAGCACTTCTTGATCTAGGAGCGAGTGTAAATCTTATTCCTTACTCGGTGTATGAGAATCTAGGTTTGGGAGAGTTAAGACCTACGTCGGTTGTTTTACAGCTTGTTGACCGTTATGTCAAGCAACTGAGAGGTATTGCTAAAGATATACTCATAAAAGTGTACAAGTTATACTTTCCGGTTAATTTCTTAGTTTTTTATACAGAACCGGTCCATGATTCCAAAAAGTATATTCCAGTTATTCTTAGGCGTCCTTTCCTTGCCACAACAAATGCTTACATTAACTGTAGGACTGGAGCCATGGATTTATCTTTTGGGAATATGAAAGTCAAACTAAACATCTTCAATGATATTCATCATCCGCACGATGATAGTGAATGCTTCTTCCTTGATGTTATCGATGAGTTGGTTGAGGAATCACTCCCAACTATTTTATCCAATGATCCTTTAAAAGCTTGTTTAAACCACTTCAATTATGAGGATTTTGATATTGAATCCTCAATTTCTAAAGTGAATTCATTGCTCAACTCCACTCATATCACATATTTTCCTCCATGGAAATCTAGACTTGAGCCTTTACCTCCACTTTCTAGTATTCCGCCTATTCTTTCCTTACAATCTCCACTTAAGCTTGAGCTTGAGCCACTACCGGATAAGCTCAAGTATGCTTTCTTGGGCAAAATAAAGAGGCAATTGGGTGGAGTGTGGCTAATTTAAAAGGAATTAGCCCCACAATTTGCATGCATCAGATTCATTTGGAGAAGGATTCCCGTACATCTCGGGAACTACAAAGAAGATTGAATCCCAATATGAAGGAGGTGGTTATAAGGGAAGTTGTGAAGTTGTTAGATGCGGGAATAATCTATCCCATCTCAGATAGCAAGTGGGTGAGTCCTACTCAGGTAGTACCTAAATAGTCAGGTATTACAGTAGTTAAGAATTCTGAGGGAGAATTAGTCCACAGCGTACCACCACTGGATGTTGTGTATGTATTGATTATCGGAAACTCAATTCTGCTACTAGAAATGATCATTTTTCATTACCATTCATTGATCAGATCCTATAGCGGTTAGCTAGCCAGAGTTATTACTGTTTCTTAGATAGATATTCTGGCTATAATCAGGTGGTCATTGATCCTAAGGATCAAGAGAAAACTACTTTCACCTATCCATTTGGTACATTCACATCAACAACCCTTATAATTTTAGGCAAAGGTTCGAGCACCCTGAGGTTGGGCTCGAGCTTTTGAGATTAGGGCTCGAGCTTTTCTACCTTCGTCGATTTTCTTGCTTCTTTCTGTTGTGCTCGAGCCATGGAACTGCGGCTCGAGCCTTGGCACGTGAATTCTTCCAATTTTCACCATTTTAACTCTTGGCTTGCTTAGGATGATCGGCAACAACTCTGTAAGCTTCGATATTAGTTTTTTCATCTTAAAGTCTCGGTTTTCACCATTTCTTTAGGAAAGTACCTACAAATACGAAATAAATATAAATCAGTCTAAAACTGGATAAAAGTATTACTTAAAGTCTTAACATATATATATTTAGAGGGCTCGAATATGCAATATTCAGCGCTCATCATACCCTCAAACTATTTTCACCTATCCAGAAGTTTCAGTTGAAATAAGGGTTATTGATTTTCAAACAAGGATGTTGCTAACTCGAAATAATAATGTTGTAATGCACCAAAAACAACCGTGAACAGCTTATACCAGAAGTTCTTTTAAAAAGAAAAAAGAAAAAAGAAAAGAACATCTATAAAGGATCTGTGTCTCTGGATTAAAGTTCTGCCCAATCTCCTCTGTCAAACAAAACAATTGGGGTTGAGCTCATTTAACAACTGAGTCCAATTCGATCAATCCATAACTCAGCTCATTGTACCATTCTCATGCATTTTCGACAAGCAAACATCATAAATAACAGCTCGAGTTACAAAAATGAGGATTTTATATTTATTATCAAGGCATCCTACACTGATAATTTATATATAAACTTCTCACGAATAGAATGCAGAAACAATTATTTTTGCAGAACAATTGGCGAATTTTACTTACGGTCGCAGACTTTATTTCCATTTGAAGGTTAGCATTTTGTATCTGTACAACATTATTCTCATTTACTTGGGATCAAATTAAGTACTCATAATACATTAAGAAAATGGCATCTGGGGATTCTTTCGGTAGGCTGTTGATGTAGAGATAGAAACGCAGCAAGTCCTCCTTGGAAACGGTTTTAGTGTCAACCACATCATCACTACAAGTAACCAATAAGTCTCTCAACTTCACTCTTTTTAAGCTACCACGACAAAAGGGACAGGACTCAGATCGTGTGTTCCTGTAAGTTGGAAAGAGTTTTAAGAGCATTAAGAATAAAAACCCTTCTTCAAATATCAGGCATTCAGGATGGAATAAGTGTAAAGATAAAAAGAGAAATATGAGGCATAGGGCTACCAATCACGATAGTAGTTGATGCACATTGCATGACAGCAATTAGGCAACACCATTTTCGTGCAAGGTTCTAAGCAAATTCCACATTCATCTTCTCTCTCCAAATCAATGTTGGAAAACTCATTATCTCTTTTCAGTCTCATTTTGCTTATAATCTCCATGCCGGGATTCCCATCATTCACATCGCAACTAAGTCCCCATGGAGCCGCCGAAGAGATGGCAATATAACAGCTGCAAA